TTGAAGTAAGGGATCCCACCTCAACGTAAAAAGTCGGAGCATCTGAGGAGACACTACTCAACCTCTGACCCCCCCCCCTCTCTCTCTCTCCTCTCTCTCACACACACACACACACACACACACACACACACACACACACACACACACACACTCATCCCTCAGACTGTTGGGCCTGGATGGCCATCTGCAGCACACTCAGGTCTCGCCGCTGTCTGGGAAAGGAGAGCTGGCAGAGCCCAGCCAGCCCCTTGCTTCTGGGCAACAGCCTCCCCGCTCCAGACCTCGATCCCCTCCCTGGTCCCTTGGAGGGTTCCTGGGATGGCCCTGGACCCCAGCCTTCACACCAGGGCTCTGCTGCAGTCTCGGTGCTGGTTCTGGGGGTGGGAGGAGTCTCGGCCTCTCCCAGGACTTCTGCATCTGCCTCCCTTTGCCTGGAGCGGGGAGATGGGCTGCTGACTAAGTCTGTGGTTCCGCCTGCAGCCTACAGGGAGGCACAGACCCAGTTCAAGTCTGGAAACCTCCCAATGGCAGGGGGCCCTAGGAGAGGGAGAGACAGCAGTCTATCTACCTGCTTCTCCTGGAAGCTAAGGGACCAGGTCTCCCCCTTCCTGTCCCCTGGATGTCCTTGAAGCTATTTTTATATGTTGCTGGAAACCAGAATTACAGCCAGAGCTGAGGCGCTAGGAGGTTTCCCTGGCGCTCTGGGTCTTGCCTCGGGGAGCAAGGGCCTTTACGGGAAGATTGGTGGAGGTGGGCCAGGAATCCACAGTGCAGGTGGGGAGCGTGGGTCCCCGGTCAGTGGAGGAGGTCATTACTAGCAGGTCCCTGATTGGCACACAGGTGAGAAACAGTGACTCAGGAAGGCTGTGGTACCTGTGACATTCAGTCAGTCAGTCACCTTTGGCCTCTTTTTTTCCCCCTATTTTTTTTTTTTTTTTTTTTTTTTTTTAAGTCAGCATCTCACTATGTAGTCCTGGGAACTCTATGCAGAGCAGGCTGGCCTCCAATTTACAGAGATCAGCTTGTCTCCTGCTCCCAGAGAGCTTGGATTAAAGGCCTGCTTTTTAAAATTACATTTCTCTTTCTGTTTTGCGTGTAGGTGACTGGACAGGGGCACACTCACGAAGGTCAGGTGACAGCTGGCAGGAACCAGATCTCCCCGCCCACCACATGGCTCCTAAGAATCAAATTCAGATTGTCAGGCTTGGTGGCAAGCACCTTTGCCCACTGAGCCCTCTCGCCAGCCCCGACACCTGGCCTCCTCGGGCCTTTAAGAAGGAACCCTCCCCGGGACCAGGAAGCAGGGCTGGGGCTGAGAGTGTGTTGCCCAGAAGCAGGGGCCTTGCTGGGCTCTGCTGGTCTCGGTTCAGGATGAGGTCACCCACCAAAGAGTCCTGTGTTCCAGGTACACACACTCATGTTCTGTCTCAATCCTCCCATGGTTCCCACTGCACAGAGCAGACACACAGCCCTGGCTTCTCTGGACCTGGTGTCTGAGAGGTTTGACCTGGTTCTCAGCGCTGCCCTTCTCTGCCTGGCCGGCATCTTCCGAGGAACTGAGAGCGGATCTGGAGGGAGGAAGGACTCCAGAGCAGGAGGTGTGCTCCGGCTGGGTCGGCTCAGCTTCTGCTTTGCCGGGATCTCCAGGAAAACAAAGGA